TACACGACCACAACAACAATTACATATGGTTGACATTTGCAGCAAGACCAAAGTAATGAGGTGAAAGAACAGCTTTTCAAAACCCTTCCATATTCAATGAGACAAGCTGCAGAAGGTACTGCCATCCTCAACCTGATTAACCTCTTAGATTTCATTTTTCTTCAGCGGCGTCTTCAAGCATTCGTTTCAATCGGCTTTTTTCTCCTTTTTCTTTGTTATCCAAAGATCGTATTAATTCCCTTCTGGGTGGACCCCTTCCAAGGGACTCCATGGCAATTCAAAAGGGTTTGCATGTAAGCCGCTGAACTCCATAGAACTCACATCTGCATTCGTCTTCATCTCTGGATTCTCCCCAGGCACTTGGGCGACGCTCCTCAATAGCTTGTGCTGCAAAAGGACTCAAACTTTCCGGGCCAACGACTTGCGTAAGGATTTTATCGCCCTATTGCTATTTCAGCGCAACACATCTTTCAGGCGCGGTATATTTTCCAGAAGATGGCGAAGCGTATTTTTTAATCTTTCATCGTCGAATGTTTTGATGTCGGGTTTTCAGTTTTGTTGTGATGTGAACACCCTTTGTGACATAATGAAGGATGTCGTTGCTGTGCTTTGAATCTGTCCCACCCCGCTGTACAGGACCAATTAAAAAAATTGGATGATGCGAGATGGTGCCATTCAAAAAGCCAACGGCTGATGGTCTGTTCATTGAGCCAATTTATTCGCCGCGAACAAACCACTTTCAAGGCTTCTCGTTCCCATCAGTCCGATAGAGTGGACAATGGGAACTCCCGAAGGTCGTCAAAGAACGCCTCTTCTCGACCAAGAAAAGCATTCTCCAAAACTTAAACGTTCAACAACGATTTTTTCCGAGACGGCCTTACAAGAAATAGACGAAACATTTGGGGTGGATGGTGTCAGTTTCTTAGAGAGGCGTGGGGGGTTGATCTGCCAAATCTCTCTTTTTGTCGTTGTAGTGAGTTTTATGAACTCGTCCCTTCCCTTTTAACGTTTGTTGATTTCAGGTGATACTTGGCGGTTTTTCATCCTCTCGTTTATGAAGCCGCGTTGTACAATCCTGTAACAGAAACGAAGGTCCCAGAGTTCAATCCTCATGTAAGAGACTTGGCAAATTCAGCATCTAGTTCAAGAAACTCCTGGTTCTCTTGTAGACCGTTTACATGGTTGGATTTCTTGGCACATTTATCGTATCAACTGGCGCGACAGCGTTGCATGGGAGGGACAATCTGCGACTGTGTTTGAGTCCCAAGGCTGCACTCGATATGCTTCCGATTGCGGCGTCATTTGCAGTTACTGAAGTACGTTCGGATCTAGAAATTGTCTTTCACTCTTTATTTTTTTATTTTTACTCTTTATTTTTTATTTTTATTTTCTCTTCTGCAGACTCTCGATATGTTTACCTTACAACACCTTGACGCCGCGTCGAAGTTGACATTAGGACAGATTAAACTTCCCTTCGCGGCGTTCACCAGTCAGTTTCTCATGGGTGTTAAACTTCACGCCCTTGAATGGTTTCAAGTTATTGGAGCTACAGCAGCTATCGTTGGTTATTGCCTGTTCAGTGGACGTCACGTGGAAACCAGAATTGCACCAATCGGAATCGTTTACGTCTTGACAAATGTTTCTATCTCGACGTTGGGTTGCCTCGGTGCTGAATATGTTTTGAAAGATGAAAAACAACGTTTTTTTACTCGTTTAGCTCAAATGCGTGCTCCAGCATTCTTTATTTCGGCAATCTTTTTCATTGCGCACGTCTCCTATCATTCCTTATGGAATCAATCTTTCTTTCATGGATGGACAAGCAGCGTTGTTCTTCTCGTAAGTCTTTCGTGATTTGGATTGATTGATCAAAATGTTTCTCCAGATCTTTTGGTCAGCGGTTAAGGACGGTTTAACGCAAGCTTTAATCAAACGGCTTGATACTGTCTGGAAGGCCCTTGCCGGGTCACTTTCCTTGTGTCTGAGTTACGCTGCGGGATCCTTTCTCCGTCAAAGTGCAGATGCGGTCAATCTTCTATTTGTTCTGCTGCTGATGACTCATGTCCTTGCTTTAGCGCTCGTTAAAAGACACCGACACAAAATGGCTGAACTTATTGAGTGAGAAAAGGACTGCGCGCGATTTGTTTTTTCGTGAATTTTTGTAACATGAAAATGTTGAAATGGCACAGACTGATGAGATTTCATCTAGTGTTTGCTTTCCTTGTGAGGGCAACAGCACTCGATCAATTCGCTGAAGTTGAACTCATTAATTTCTCAAACCATCAATACGGAGTGGAGATTAATTTGAAGTCCAACGTTTCCCATGATCAAGCGTTTGTTCTTCTGGTGGATACGGGGAGTTTTGATTCGTGGTAATGAAGTCTTTTCATCATTGATGAGATTCAACCTCCAGGGTTCGAGGAGAGTCGAGCTTAGGCTGCCCCCATTACCTGTCATTGGAGAAAGGATTTGTATTGAGTCATGCGACTGTCAATTCGAAACAACGTCTCCTCTCGTATGGCGATGGGATGCACGGTAAGACGATGAGAGCGCGACCCTGATGACAAATTGAAAAGTTCTAGGACGAACGACTTCAATTGACGCAACATTAGCTACAACTCTTTGTCCCAAAATCAACGCTTCGTCGATCACATTTGTCGTTGCGAATAAATGCAAGAATAGCGAGGCAACTTTATTGACTGATGGTGTATTAGGTGAGTCAACTGCTTGATAATACAACAAATATTAGATCTCGGATCCAATCTGTCGTCTTTGTTTCATCTTCACTTTCTCACACTGTCCTTGTCTCCAATGATAGTTTGAACTCCACACTTTGTTTTCAGGCCTAGCGCCCACATCCCTCCCACCCTTCTATGCTTGGTTTGGAACAAGATCATCATCAGGATCGTTTATTGGTTGGTCACTTACTTCTTCTTAGACCTTTGCATTTATCGCACAGAAACGCTTCTCCAACAAAATCCACAATTCAATGATCAATTTACTTTAATTTTCAATGACATTCATTCGAGTGCCTCAAACTCAAAAATCGTCTTCGGAAAATATCAAAGTAATTTGGTGCATGTCCAACTCTACTGTCCCAAATCCATTCAGGATTGATCGAAAAGTCGAATAATCCAACGAGACAGACTTCCAATTCAAGTCTTCGTCTTCCGTCCGTCTTCTGGAGCTCCACACCTTCATCGGGTTGGTTTTCACGCACACCTTCGAAATGGTTCGCATTGATGCTTGGCGTGCAAGTCACTTCGGATAGAAAAGTGTTTCAAATCCCGGGATTCCCAGAGACGCATGCGATGGTCGACTCTGGTACGAATTCTCTCATTCTGTTGTACTTCCCTCTATCTTCTGTCTCTTAGGAACTTCATTAATTTTGTTCCAAGCGTCTGTTTTCAACGCCTTGATTATTCAGCTTGTCTATCAACGATTTTGTCAACATGTATTGCTCTCGGGTTTCTCCATCGACCCTCACTCCGTTGTACGAATCAAATTGATCGTCGATCTTTCATCTATTTTTCTTTCACTATTCCAGTATCTCAAATGATATCGTTTATCTATTATTATCTCAAATGATATCGTTTATCTATTTCTTCCTTCTTTAGAGATGTCGATGTCCAACCAGTTATTCTCTATTCCCTCCCTTCTTCACCGAATTAGTTTCGATGCCAAAGATTTGTTTCATATTTGGAAATTACAAGACGGGCCCTTCTCCCCCTTTATGCCTTCAACCACATCAAGTAATCCATCTATCTATAGGATCATTCGGATATCTGCTTCTATTAGTATCTCGCTAAAGACCGCTCGGCAAGAGCTGCACACTTCCCATGCAAACTTTGTGAGTATGAAAGAACCGCCCCCCGCATTTTCACCCATTCTTTGCAGTATTTGGAAAATTGGCGGATGGGTCTCCATTTGATGTCGTGCTCGGAATGCCGTTTCTACGGGCTTATGCAACAGTCTTTGACATTGCCGCATTACAGGTTGGATTTGTCGTATGAAGGTACGATCATGTTTATATACCGATGGACACTAATCTGATTATATTGCCGAGCCACTTATTCGCGGTCCTGGTACGGATTTCCTCTTCAGCAACAAGAATATAAGTGTATCCTTACAAATGACGGAGAACACTGACTGGGGAAAAGGGGAAGACGAAGGAGAAGCAGACGAAGAAGATCAGGGAGGAGAAGAAGATCAAGGAGGAGAAGATCAAGCAGACGAAGAAGAACAAGGAGAAGAGGTTCAAGAAGGGGAACCGGGTGGAAATGTTTCTGTTGGAGATAAGATTGGTTCACAGAATCCTCCGCGGCGGGAATCTTTGGCGTCAGTCCTAATGAATTCTTTTTTCGATTGTTATTCTAATGGTCTGTGTTTTTGTTTCAGGGGTTCAGTTCTTTCAGGGAGTGCCGCTGCGTTTTTTCAAAAGTAAGTTAAAAAGAGTTCTGCTGTCAAGTCATTGAACGTCTGTATATTCAGACGGCGAGAACAGTCTGAAGCAGTAAGTATGGTTTCTTTTCCGGCAGCGATGCGTCTGTGTTCAGCATACAGTAGCGGCTGTTGGAACGGGAGATGAGACGTGCGAGAAAGCTCCACAGCCGGTGGGGATTAAGAAAATGTGTTTACCTGGAATGCAAACTGAGGAAGGACAAAAAGAACTCCTGGCTCTGTTGTACGTCCCAAATGCGTAATTCTTGGCAAATTCTATTTTTTAGAGCAAAACGACGAGCGCGAGAGGATTAATTTATTTTTAGTTAATGTTGTTTTTCTCGTATACGGAAAGTTCAATTTTTTGATAATTTTTGATGGAGACGCAGTAAGTCAATCGAAAACGAGAACAAAGTGCGGAACGCGTGTTTGTGAGGAGACGCCGTCTCGTCATCTGCCACACTTCTTTCTTCTTATCTTCACTTGCCTTCATAAGTTTTTACGAACTTATAAAAGCGAGTTGGACGACGAGTCAATCGTTGTGGCAAAACCCTAAACCCTGCTTAGCGGTGAACCAGTTCTTTTAGCAAGTTCTCTGTTTTAAAAAAGAACTTGCTGACACCAACGAATGGTATTCCTCTTGGCGTATCGTTGGTTGTTGTGTGCGTTGATGAAGGATCTTGTGATCCGCATCTTCGGTCTTGTTCCCTTGGTGGACAATTCTACAAACGTCTGTCCTTTATTATTTCTACCAATACCTTTATTTCTACTAATCGTTCAATGGTTTGTATCGCTTATTTTTATTTAATCGAATCCTTCGGTAGTTTGTATTGTTCACTTGATATTGAAGTGGATGGACTCAGACATCTTTGCGCCCATAGTTTGATGCTTAAAATGTTGGATCAATTGTCATCAGAAGGTAACTATATTTCCACACCACCAATCGGCTGTCTTGCAATTCTGGGAAGTTGAGCGAAAGGTGGAGGACGAGGACCATGAAATCCTCTTCGTGTTCCGGAAGCAGCGAGTGCAGGCGGAATCGCCTTGGCTGATCACAAAATGACATCAACAGTGATTTCTTTGCTGGCGGCTCCTCCACACTCATGCAAGCCGCGTCCGATGGACACTTACATTTCTTCCCTCCAGTGATGGGTTTCATGGCTTTGAATTTCTTCAATGTTTTTGACGCAACAGGTATCGTTGTCGCTAAATCCTGTATAAAAACAACTTAGCGAATCCAATGCAGAATCACTGCTTACTCCAATGTGCTTGTTCCTTCCAGAAGTAATTTCTCTGCAGGAGAAAAAGTCGGTCAACGGAAGTACTCCTCGTCTTGCTCTCATCAATACTCATCGGTACTCATCAATACTCATCAATACTCAAAATAGATTCAATATTATTTCGTTAGCTTACCGTTCTCTCCACTTTGATTTTGTCACACGGATCGGACGATTTCCCACGTATTTCCTATCCATGTCTTTCATTGCTCTTAACATGTCCTCGGGATTCGCAAAAGAAACAAAACCTGAAATTCATTCAAATAGACGTCATTTTATATTGACATCAACATTCGCACCAAATCCCTTTCCTTTTCCTGTTCTTCGATCTCGAATTACTCGAGCCTTTTGAAAAGACTTGAAATGTCGGAATGCATTCGACAACAACTCGTCAGTCACTTCGTTTCCTAAATCGCCGCAGAAAACTCTATAGAGAACAAAATCACATCATGACTCCCAAGAGTGATATCGCTAGACTGCCTTGCCTGAAGTCTCCATCCGGCCACTCCTCAAGCGTGGCATCGCTCCAAACTTGGCCACCGGCTTTTCTCAAATGGAGTTTTGTGTTTCTAATTGGCCCCACTGTTCCTGAACTAGTAGCTGGATCTTCATCAGCTTCCGGAAGAAATTCACTCGGTATTCCAGCCCCCATGGAATAAACTGGGAGAGGCTGTGGAGTCATCATTGAAGGTGGGCCTCGTGGAATTGGAAACATTTGTTGCGGTTGTTGCATCGGTGGCATCATCAAGGATGGAAGTCCTCCTACAGCTTGCTGCATTGGTGGTGGAGGCACTGCAGCCACATTGAAAGGGATGAAAGGCTGAGAAGGGAAACCCTGGGGATGAATTCCCCTTCCACGTCCCCTTCCTCGACCAAATTGTTGCACTCCGTACGATTGCTGCATTATCTGGCACGGGTCCAGAGATGACAGAGCAAGGACTCTGTTCGTCTTTTTGTTTCTATCAAGCATGTAAACTATAAACTTTCGTGTGTTGCATCAAGAGCCTTTCCTCTTTTTATCAATCAGTACTATCGAAAATCCCCATCCTCCACATTGACACCAAGGTCCCTGTTATTTTCTGGATCCTGCATGTCCCCACCCTCAAATTCTCCGTCAAATGGATTCCTGTTCCCCTTCTTCATGAGTAGATATCCACCAGCTCCTGCAGCTAGAGCGACAACACCAGCAGCAGCACCTCCAACAATGATACCGGTAGGAAGTCCAGTTGCTGCTGTTGAGGTGACAGTGGGAGGCTTAGCCTTAGATGTGCTTGATGCCTTGGATGTGCTTGATGGCTTTGATTCCTTGGATGTCTTGGTTGAAGTGGTTGTTGTTTTGCGGGGATTATACGGTTCGTCGCCTTCAGCGTCAACTGCAGGCAATTCAAATTCTGGGATAGAAGAGGAAAATCACTTACTGTACCAGCATTTTGTCCGTCGGCTCCGTATTCATGCTTGTTGACATATTCTCGAGAACACCAAGGTCCAGCTTCAGACCTGTGGAAGACGGTGATCAATTTGACCAAATCCAGAAATCGCTTACCATCTACCAGCGCACCAGATGCAGGTCGTTGTCCCTGAGCATTTTATAAACATACAAGTTTGACATGTTGCAGTTTTGCCAGGAGGGCAGTATTGGTCATATATTCATGGTGCTGTCCGATGAACCCTTGTTTGCACCATCAATGTGCTCCTGAGCTTTCAGGATACAATTCGGACCTTCCCTCTGACTTGATCCCGACCAGACAAAATACACGCATCTGGAATCCTCCTGGCAGTACTGCTGACACCGTTGGGCCGAAGGAACATCCTCGTAAGTTTTATACCCAGCCTTGCTGCCTTCGCTATACCCGTGCATCAGACTCGTGTAACACCCAGTACTGTCTTGCGCGTTACCCCAAATGTGCACTGAAAGAAGGAGACAGTCGACCCCCTCTGGAGTCACCATAGTTTACCGAAATCGCAATTGTCTTTGAATTCTTTGGAGTCTCGCTGCAAAAAAGACAAACATCGGAAAGAGTCAAACAACTTGAAACCCACCTTTCCTTCGTTACAAAGCTTCTCACATCGATCGTTGAGATAACCTTTGCTCAACACGATGGACTCTGAACATTGAAAGTCATCAAAGAGTCTTCTTGGATGAGATAAAGTCTTTTTTCCAACCAAAGACAAGAATTCTTCAGCGGACGCGATGTACGCAAATGGAAAAATTAACAGATAAAAAATCATTTTGAATTGAGTGATGGCATGAATTCAGCAAGGATCTAAAAACAAAAAATGCATTCTAATGCCAGATCGGAAATGATCAAGCGACACACGAATTTAGTTAGTTGATTCGAATTATATGGTCATTTGCATCGCTCCCGTGTTTTTATTCGACATGACAATAAGTGAGCTCTTCTCTTGCGAGATAGGAAAATCTTAAACTTTGTTCATGTAGATGAGCCCTATTCATTAGTATTTCAATACGACAATCCATGATTGTTTGGCTGAAAACTAGAGGCACCAAAACACAACACAAGAGTATCTACTTGGCATCTAGAATCATCAGTTGATGGAGACATGAGTTCCACAATCCGCAAAGAACTTAACTTGAGAACGAACACCAAACAAGACAATCGAGTGGTGAGGATTCAGGAACACATCGAAGATATCTCTGGTCATTCTTGACTACAAGTAAGACGCAAAATTTCGAAAGGCTAAAATTTTTGAGATCCCTCAGGTTTTGATGAGTAGTCGCGACTTAACTCTCATAGAAACCAAACCAGAGTTTGCACCTCACATCAAGGTGTGTTGTTTTAATCCAACTTTACCTTGAATCTCCTCGAGATCATACATTCGCTCGCGAATCAAAAAACCGTCGAAACACCTGGTAAGAGAAAGATTGATGGAACCCAGCAAGATCTACAGTTGTTATCAGGTGCTAGCCAAAGTACCCATAGCGCCATTGGTGTAAAGAATGTCTCAGTTTGCTCAAAGACTCACTTGAGCTGCCTCGAAAACAAGGGTATCAAAATCATCGGAGAGAACTGCTTCGCAAAGATCTAATTGCGTGAGGGGAGTTACAATATCAGCATCTCGTTTATGCCTCCTGAAGAATCAAGAATAATTCACAGAGAGATATCTGTAATCCCTTCCTTCCAATCCTGCAGCCAAGTTAATCCTGGCCTCGTCTCTTGTATTCCAAGCTTTGTACTCCCAACATCTGATTGATCTTTTCTTCATGAAGAATCTCGCTTATTGTTTCTCCTGCGGACGCTGTCCCAAATCATTTCATCCCAACAGACTCCATCACCCAATCCCATTGTTCATTACCTTTTTCCTTGCACGAGGTTCTCATGCCATCCGGGCCATCGTGCGCATCCTGCTGCGCTGACACCATCTTGTCTTGCTACCTTCCTGTTTAACGATGGTTCAATTCTTATTTCTTTTCGGCCCTTACCGTCTTTAATGGCGATATTTTTGCACTTGACACTCAATGCCCTATCATTCAACATTGATTACACCTGTAGTGCCTCTTGTTCTTGAAATGTCGGGCGCTTCACAGCAATAATATTCAGTAGGCTGTCTCTGGAACATCGTCTTTTGGGTTCCGTATCGGTCATCTCAGGGAATGCATGGTTGAAGTCCCGTGCTATTGAATCAACCGTTGTCTTTCCATACGCTTGAATCCTAATTTAACTCTTCAACAAAAGTACGAATGTTCTATCCCGACACTTGCGGCAATGCTTCCAGTGCCACGTCCGCTAATCTGTCAGTCACATGGGATGCATACTGCCATCTCTGCTTCAATCGATCAAACCATGCAATTCTATCCTCCATCCACATCTTTGCTTCAAATATCATTTTGATTCGAGTAAACCGTCTTCACGTAATCATCATAATAAATACTTTTGCCACTTCATTCACTAAGTCAACTCTTCTGTACCCCCTCCAGACCCGAGAAGTCACCTCCAGACCCGAGAAGTCACCTCCAGACCCCAGAAGTCACCTCCAGACCCAGAAGTCACCTCCAGACCCCAGAAGTCACCTCCAGACCCCAGAAGTCACCTCCAGACCCCAGAAGCCATTTCCAGACCCCAGAAGCCACCTCCAGACCCCAGAAGCCACCTCCAGACCCCAGAAGTCACCTCCAGACCCCAGAAGTCACCTCCAGACCCCAGAAGCCACCTCCAGACCCCAGAAGTCACCTCCAGACCCCAGAAGTCACCTCCAGACCCAGAAGTCACCTCCAGACCCCAGAAGTCACCTCCAGACCCCAGAAGTCACCTCCAGACCCCAGAAGTCACCTCCAGACCCCAGAAGTCACCTCCGAACAATGTTCCTGTCCTGTTTTTTTTCTGTCTAAAACTTCCACTCCAAATTTCTAGAACATCCGTCACTCCTGCTGCGGGCAACTCTTCCGGACCACACTCAGTCATCTCCATTGCAACCCCTTCGAACGGCTTCTTAAAAACCTTTCGCCTCAAAGCATCCAGTCATGAGTAATGAGTCAAAGGTATGCACACATTGATTCCCACCCGTTATGAGCAACCACTCCCAAGATCTCACTCCAAGCGATTCTGCCAATGAATTGAGGACTCGACAGGGGATCCCGATGCCACTTCAGCATGTCGGACAAACTTTGACTTTGGCACGACAATCATTACACAAGGCGTGACCTTCTCGACATTGATAAATGGGGGGGGAACAACGTCTCCATATTGACAGCTGGTAGCTGATAGTGAAGAGTTTCTCTTCAGTTGACTTGCCGATACTATCCAATGGGATGCAGAGAAAGGGTGACGCATCTAACAAAAGAGGACCATGAGGCTTGTTGTGGCTTTAGACCCTTCCTTTGTTTGCATCATGATTGTGTAAGACGAGCTGCATGATTGCTAGAAATGTTGGAGATGGATTTCTTGTTTTTTCTTGTTTCAGCCCTATCAGTACTATTCTCCCAGGGTTGTTGCTTCGAAGGTTCGGGCAACGAGTTAGCTGACCACCTGGTGATGTAACACGGGTAAAGGCTCACTGCCGCTGAAACTCCGTTCAATTGTCATGCTTTCAGCTACCAGCAATTCAAGACGAACAAACTCGACTTTGCTTGGAAAAACAAGAACACGATGTGGGAGCGACACATGTAAAAAGCAACTCTAATTGAGAATCTCATTATTTCTATCTCAGATATTCATGTTTTGGAAGACACTTCGTGCTTCGGGTTCATCGAAACGTGAATAGTGATCAGCTTATCTACTTCAGCGTTGCCGTCCTTCACTCAGAAGATCATTTTTATCGCTACAGTTTATAAACAAAAGAAAGGGAGCCACTGCACACGTTTGAAGGTAACGTCTCCAGAATAGTTCATGAAGGCTTTATTCTGGGTTCAAGGTCTTGTGTGGTCGATACGGCGGATTCGAGTGGATTCAAGAAGCAGGAGACTGCTTGAGGATCCCACAATTTCCCCGCTCTTGCCTCTAATGTGGGAAATGGCTTACCTTCTCTTACTGTGAATGGGGAAAATCCTTCTCCGGTCCAGCCCAAACCAACTGCCTGTCCCAAACCAACTGCCTGTCCTAAACCAACTGCCTGTCCTAAACCAACTGCCTGTCCCAAACCAACTGCCTGTCCCAAACCAACTGCCTGTCCCAAACCAACTGCCTGTCCCAAACCAACTGCCTGTCCCAAACCAACTGCCTGGCCTAAACCAACTGCCTGTCCCAAACCAACTGCCTGTCCCAAACCAACTGCCTGGCCTAAAACCAACTGCCTGTCCCAAACCAACTGCCTGTCCCACATCAGCTGCCTGTCCCAAACCAACTGCCTGTCCCAAACCAACTGCCTGTCCCAAACCAACTGCCTGTCCCAAACCAACTGCCTGGCCTAAACCAACTGCCTGTCCCAAACCAACTGCCTGTCCCACATCAGCTGCCTGTCCCAAACCAAGTGCCTGTCCCCAAACCAACTGCCTGATGCAAACCGATGGATCGATGCAAACCGATGGATCGGTGCAAGATGGATCGATGCAAACCGATGGATCGGTGCAAGATGGATTGATGCAAACCGATGGATCGTTGCAAGATGGATTGATGCAAACCGATGGATTGATGCAAACCGATGGATTGATGCAAACCGATGGATTGATGCAAACCGATGGATTGATGCAAACCGATGGATTGATGCAAACCGATGGATTGATGCAAACCGATGGATCGATGCAAACCGAAGGATGAATGCAAATCATGCAAACCAAAGGGTAATCATGCAAACCAAATGTTCGACTCAGTCGGTGGGATTGTGGTTATGATGGTGGTGGTTGTCTGCGGACTGTTTTTAATAGGTCATTAGATTGTTCTATTGAACTTTATAAACAAGAGAGGCTGCTTTTTCATCTGCAGCAACTCCTTCCAAAAACAAGGCACTAACTTGACATCAAACGATAACCCGAATTAGAAGACGATTCGGACTCTGATTCAAGAATAAGTTATCTCCTACTCGCATGGATGAGTTCATCTTTTTGCAGCTTGAACGGTTCTGTAAACCGTCAATTGTAGTGAGCTCTGTAACCAAGAATGGTGAAGCCATCCAGTGTCACCCTGGAACTCAGATGAGAAACACTCAAAGCAGAAGCATCCTTACGAGTTGAGTCGCCTACGTTGTGTCCACGAGTTTAGACTTCCTTTTGCTTTGGTGGGGAGTTCGTTCTGGTCGTATGCTCTCAATGCGAAGCTGATTAAAAGTATCGTCTTGTCTGCCAGTTCTCATTCTTATCCCATCTGTTGTTCACCATTGGCGCTGTCCCGCCGACAACACAGATAGATTAACCTTCCTTCCGTACCCATGTGAAAATGCTGCGAGGATTGAGCACTTCGACTGGGAATCAAACATCCGTTCTCGTAAATCACCATATTCTGACGCGAGTTGCGTTGACGAGAAAACCTGGCACGCTCATTTCTGTTGAGATGGGGGCCTGGTTTGAAGTCTGGTATCAAACAACAGCGGAAGTCGTATTGGGAGTACTAAAAACTATCCGTTAGCATTGGCACTGAACCTTCTCGAGCGACCTGGTTTTCCAGCTGTCACATACTACTTTTCCTTTTATGTCTGAACCCGAACTTTGAAGCAGATGGGTGTCCAAGGCCTTTGGGATGTTGTTGCCCCTGCAGGCCGACGTGTCAATCCAGAAACGCTTGAAGGGCGGACCATTGCGGTTGACAGTTCAATATGGATGGTCCAATTCATGAAAGCCATGAGAGATGCAAATGGGAACATGATACGGGCTGCCCATCTTGTTGGATTTTTCCGCCGTATTTGCAAGCTGCTGTATTACCGAATTCGTCCTGTTTTTGTATTCGACGGTCCTCCTCCTCCATTGAAAATGAGAACCCTGATGCAGCGGCGCCAATTTCGTGAACAGCAAGAAAGCAATATCAAAAAAACAGCCGAAAGGCTTCTTTTAGCACGTTTAAAGCAGAGAGTTTTGGCCAAAGCTGCCGCTGTTCGGAACTCCCAAACTCCAAAGGCAGACAATGTGGAGATTTCAAGTGGTACTCCAACTAGCACACAGACTAGCGCGGCTGTTGAGACTGTTGAATCAACAATCACTCGTTTTCGTCGCCAAAGGGAAGAGGAAGAAGAGATTGAGGAAACCTCGAGTTCTTCGAAACGGCCCAAACTGAACGACGATGATCAAGAGCCAAACCAGAAAGATCTGTTCACTATCGACAGCGACGATGATGATGTAGATCTTGACGTAAGCGGGGAGGCACTCACCAACGCTGCAAACAGGAGAGCCCGTCGGGTCGCTTACTATAGCAGCATTCCATCGGAGTTCACGTAGGTGAACCCTTGATCTGATTTCTCTCATCTCTTCTCTTTTTAGAGGATTCCTCTCCGGACGTCGCCGTCTTGATGACATCCAAATCGCTCCATCTGGGATTGACGGCCTTCTCAAAATGCCTGAATCACTGCTTCCGAAGCGAACTGGAGATGATCATCCTCAAACATCTAAAATGTTCAGAGAAGCAGATGACTTCAAGGAGTATCGCGTAGTTTCAGAAGATGGAGTAGAGCACTTCATTCCATTGCCACTCGATTCAGGAATTGATCCTGAAGTTTTCAGCCATCTTCCGCCAAAAATGCAGTACTCGGTATGTTCTACTTTCAACTTCGATGATTCCTCTGATTCGTTGTTCTGTCTCTGTTACAGATTTTGACACAATTGAAAGATGCCTGGTTCAACTATGCCCGCCTCAAAGCAGTTCAGTCCAAAGATGATGTAGGAGCGTTCAGCAATATTCAAATTGAGTCCTTTTTGAGACTCGTTAGAACCTCTCAAGTGAGCTCAGCTTGTGATCCCTGTGACCAGGATTTTTCCTTCATACAAAAAAAGCATGAATCTCTTGTCTCACTTTAAATTCTTGAATCCTTGATCGTGTTCTAATTTCACAGGAAATCGAAAAAGTTAAAAAGTCAATGGCTGAGCAAGTGCACGCTGAGACTATTGCATCAAGTTCTTCTGAACCGAGCGCCTTCCTTCGAACAGAAGACGCTGAGTTGCAGATTGACTCCAACGAAACAGAAGAGCCCTTGCTGCAGTTACCTGAATCGGGAGAAGTGCGAAGTCTGGCAGCCCAATTGTTGCCCGATCCCTTGAATGGAGCGCTCCACGTTAAAGGAGGCCCGCAAAACAGTGCATATGGGAGAAGAGGGCGAAGAAGAAAGGCCATCCAACATTTGAATTCCGACTTCTCCATGCCTTCGTTGCAGCCGCTCAAAGGAGTGGAAGCTCTGGGTGAAATGAATGATTGGCGGGATCAGTCAGTGGTCGATCGTGATTGGCGGGCTGGTTGGTCGAAATTGAAAAGTAATCCAATTGAAGCATTTCAGCATATTGGAGACGCTCTGAGCGTGAAGAGACAAACACATCAAGATGTTTCGATGAGGGAAAATGGAGAGGTCAAGGAAGAAATCGGCAACGCGAACGAAGACTTCCACCTGTTTTATAATGAACTGAGTGTGGAAGATTTGTTTGGAAAAAATGATGCAACGGAAAACCCGAGTAGTGAAGTTGGACCGTCAGACAAAGAGTCGCCCGGCACAAGATCGAAAAAGCGAATCAACATGGTGAGGAAAACTGACCCGTTCAAACAAGCTGAACAGAAGGATGTTAAGACAAGCGGCTTCAAAAATACTGGAGAAACCCCAAAGCCACAAGCAGAACTAGTGTATCCCTCAATACTGCAGCAGGAAATCCCACCAGAAAAACCACAGCAAATGTCTCAAATAGAAGCATCACCATCAGAAGGACATCAGGTAGAAAAATCAAGGAATCTCGAAAGGGGGGAACCAAAAGTACTAAGAATGCACCATTCACAACGAACAGAAACAGGACAGCCAGAAATAACAGACCCTCGCGGAGTGCAACAACTGGAAGTAGAACTATCAGAGCTGGAGCATTCAGAGTTGAAGCCTCGAGAAAAACATTCAGAATCACGTCAAGCAACTCCCTGGTGCGAGGACGATGATGAAGGCTGGGGGGACACCGAGTTCGTCTGTGACGCATCGAAGGGAGGAGAAGTAATTAGGGAACAGACTGTTTCAGCCCCATCCGTTCCATCTTCTCCAAGCATCGCTGAGGTTCAAGAAAAAACTCCGAGTTCATCTGAGCCTGAAGTTGATGGGAGAAGCGATGTCGATTCGCATAGGGTTGATTCGGAAGTTGAAGTAGTGGAGACGGAGACCTACAATGTGAAGTCGCGGGAAAAAATGGAATTAGCGAGAGATGATTTGGGACATCGTCTGCAAGAGAAAACGATGAGCGAGATCCTTCAGGAAGAAACAGATCAATCAGATGTTGGGAGTACCAAGCTTGGAATCCAAGAGACGAAGCCAGGATTAATCGAGGGTTTCTCTGATTTGGATGACTTTGCTGCAGAATTGGTAAGAAAGCAGATATCTCTGTGGTTTATCTTTGATTCTTCAGGAAGAAGAAGCAGGTCGTTTAGAGTCGAAGATGCTGACTCATAAACGAGATGCTGATATTGTAACTCCCGAAATGCATGATGAAATTCGTCATTTATTGAGACTTTGCGGATTGCCTTTCGTTAATGCTCCTGCTGAAGCGGAAGCTCAATGTGCTGCCCTCACGCAATTAAATCTTTGCGAAGCAGTTCTCTCCGATGATTCTGATACCCTTGTTTTCGGGGCAGCTCAAGTGAGTCTTTGAGCAAACTGGGACCTTCTTTGCATTATGGCGCTATGCACGTTTTGTCTCACCTGATAGCAACTGTAGATCTTCCTGGGTTCCATCAATCTTTCTCTTACCAGGTATTTCGACGGTTTTTCGATTCGCGAACGACAGCTGAAATGTATGATCTCGAGGAGATTCAAGACAAAGTTGGATTAAATCAAGACAGTTTGATCTTGATCGCCTTGCTATTAGGTGCAAACTTTGGTGGTTTCCGTGGTCTCTATTATCCTTTTATTCAGGGTGTGATTATACTGTCGGAGTCCATGGGATCGGAGTTGTTAACGCTTTAGAAGCAGTGAAAGTGTTCAATACATTTGACAGTTTAGCGGAGTTAAAGGAATGGGCCACTGATATTGGGAGAGTCAGGTCAGAGAATACCGGTATCTATTGTAGAATTTGTTTGCCCTCATACATCTCTTGTAGAATTGCCGTTGGTCTATTCTTTCATTCTTAGGGGATCGGGAATTCGACCGGGCGATGATCTTATGAAAAAGGTCTACAAAGACGCACACAAACGTTATCGATATCAATGGTATGAGTGAATAGAATCGCCCTTTTTTTTATCTATAATTTGATTTTCAGGATTTTTCCAGAAGTATTTCCTGATTATGAAGTTTGGACATCCTTTCGTGAACCAAACGTGGACCGATCGGCAGAAACCTTCACTTGGGGAAATTTGGATGTTGAAGGAATCATGAAATTTCTGAGAATCCATGCAGGTCTCAATCGTGAAGTTGTAAGGAGACAGAATCTCGATTGTTTTGAATTCATCCCTGTAGGTGATAGAGACGCTTGATCCGGTCTTAAAACGAATCGAAACTCATCCGCGAATATTAAGACAGCCAACAATCAAAGAGTTTTTTAGACCTCGACCTCTTACCGATGAAGAAGCAGTAGCGAAAATTCGCTCGAAAAGAATGGAACGTGTGATTGAACAGATGAAGAAGAAAGGATCAGCAGTTGCTGATGAAACATCTGGTTCATCAACCAAAGCAAAATCGAAACCACGAGCAAAAGCCAAATCATCGCCGAAGCCAACGCGTAAAAAATGAGGGATGAGAAGCGCATCAGAATACACCAAGCATCTCCATTCGACGTGGGTTTCAATGATAACTTCTCTTCTTCTGAAGTTACTCCTCTCCACACGGACTCCATCTCAGCATCTCGCTTTGTCAAGAACCCCGTCCAACACTCGGATATGAAGAGATATCACTTTGTTCGAAAGGAAACTGTGTGTCGCATTTCTGGAGTGGACAATCCAGCAGATATGTTCACAAAAGCATTACCCCCTCCAGATTTCAACAAACACTGCCAGTCTCTCAACATTCGGGATCAGACAAAAGATGTCAACAAGAATCAGCTTCAGGGGTCACTTCTGCAAGCTGTTGACAAATTGCATTCTCAGACAAGATGAACCGGTGAAATAAAAAGGAGTCTCATAGCTAGATCAATACTGGAACGATACAGCAATACTGTGGGATGAACTAGTACAGTAACATGGATCTCTATCAGCGTAACAGACAGGTTATTGTGTGATTTCTTGCACCAACAATGTTCCTGCCCTTCGGATTTTCTCCAGAACTACTTCGAAACGCATCGCATGTCGACCTTCGAGGGTGTCTACCGCCGAATAGGCCCTTCTTGCGCGTCGACTACTCTTCAAAACCTTCTGGAAGGAATCTCAAGAATTTTAGGTTTTTGAAACGATCGACAGTTTTGCGTACGGTTCTTGAAAGGATTAATGAAACCCACGTTGTTGCTAAGAATAAAAAGGGACTCGTGTTGAGAGAATGTCTCCAGGAATCCCATTTAACTGATGATTCTGGGGAGATGCCAAGCAGATGCTCTTGTGTCTCGCGTGTTGTGTTTTGGTACCTCTAGTTTTTGGTTTGAGAGGGATGCCCTTGTAGCTTGATCTCCTCATCCAAATATAAGGCTTTTTTTATCTCTCAACTTTTTCATCAAAGAAAAGCTCGTTTGTCTAATAAAAAACGGGAGCGATGCAAATGAGCACACAATTCGAATCAACTGATTAAATTGGGGATCATTTCCGATCTGGCATGAGAATGCATGTCAAGTTGTTAGATCCTTTCTGGATTCACATCAGTTGAGATGATTTTTTATCTGTTAATTTTTCCATTCGCGTACAGCGAGACTCCAAAGAATAATTGCGACTTGTAAATTATTGATAGGGGGGTCGACTGTCTCCTCCTTTCAGTGCACTTTTGGTCGAAGGATCGCACGGAACACAGCCCTCCCTCGCAAGAGAGTACTGGGTATTACACACAGCTGATGTACGGGCATGACGAAGGCAGCAACGCTGGGTTTAAATCTTACAAGGATGTGACCTTGGGGTCAATGTGGAGGATGGGGATTTTCGATAGCTAATACTAATTGATAAAAAAAGCAAAGGCTCTCCTTGATACTTTACACGCTTGTTGGAGACACAAAAGCCGAACACAAGAACCACTTCGAACGTTAACCAGGCCAATAAGGCATTTTGGATCCACCAACACGTCAAAACGTACTGCGCCTCCGCAGAAGGATGGACGACAGAATAGAAAACAGACACATGACCCCGACACCCACAATTCCCACCACGAGCCACACACGATCTTCTACCTTTAGATTTCCAGCAACAAGCTCCGAGTAGCTTTTTACGTAGGACCGGGCAGAGATCCACGTTGACGGTGCCAAGATGTCTTGCGTAAAGTTTGAGATGGGTGGCCCCCCAACAAGGTCGAAGCAAAGGTACTCCCGAGTTCAATCTGGATGGTACTTCATCTGGCATTCGCATTGCTTCCAACCGATAGGATGAGGATTAATCGCCCCGGACAGAGATGGGATTTGGGAGAACTCTTTGGGTTTGCTCTGAAGGTTTCGTGATATTAGGCGCGTGGATCCAGATCAGACCATGACGACGTATTTCAACAGAAGTGCCGGAGAATTGAAGAAGAATTTATCCCAAAAGAAATCGGTGCTCTGAAACGAGACATCAGTAGGAATTGTCGCACCAGTATTGTCGCCGGAACACCGTATTTTCGTTCCCGGCTTTTGCTTCTCTCTTTTTTCCTTCTTTTGGACCAGTCTTTTAATTTCCTTCAACTTTGTGTTATAATATGCATACCAGCTGCTGAAAAAGGAATTCTACTCGTTATGTTATTTGGAGCCTCCGTCTATGATCTCATTCTGTCTGCACCTCTGTAACAACACTTTTACAGATTTCCAGCAACGATCGCTACACCCAGCTAGCCAGAATCAGCCCCGAATTATTCAGCACAGTCCATCAACACCATCTCTTTCTTTTTTCATTGCAGCAGTTGCCTCGCTGACGCCAGGAATCATTTTTCGTTGACGAGGAGGTGGTTCGGACGTGCGAGGACTAGATTCTGTTGAAGCATACTCTGGGAAACTATTCATGAAACGTGTTCATTTGATAGAAAAATCAAGTTTTATTCCTAAATCCTAAACGCAAACAACGTCAGGGAGTCGAACTTCTTCGGAAAGCTGAGTTCCTTCTTCCTCTCAAATTTTCCAATGATTTGGATAAACCAGTCAAAAGGCCTGATGATGATCTTCTTGTTGAAGGCAGCTTGGGCACAAGTTGTGCAAGTTTCTTTTCCTAAAACACACACAGATGAGGAGTCTCTAGAATCTCATGACTTACGAAGGATTTCCTTTCTTTCTTCAACGCCGACAGCTTTTCCCTGTCTTCTTTGTCGTTGTAGTCCCAATCAGACTTATTTGTCTCTGAACTCAATATGATGATAATCACAATGCTTAGTGACTTTACCGATTCTCTTTGTCAGCACTGCAATGAGAACCTCTGTTTCAAACAGATCAGTTTTAGTCCTTTGAAAGGCCGACTCATTTGAGTTCTGTTCTTTCGCGGGGGTACAACCCCATCTTGCCTTCTGTAAAAAGACGGAACAGAAGTTTCTTGCGCAGAAAATTGATCGCTACTCACGCAGTAGTCCAGGCAATATTTCCACTTTTCGACAAACGGCGCACTCTTCTCTGGAACCTTACTCACCACCTCTTTCGCACGTATAACGAAAGGATGAGATTCACTTCGTTCCTCCTTCTTTCCAAAGCAAGGGAAGAGACCGTTCTGCAACAAGACCGTTTAAGAAAGAGATGGGAAGAAAGCGCCTTACACATGCCTCCTCGTTACAGAGTTCGGCAACGGCGACAGTGGCAATGGATAGAGAAATAAGGGACAAGCAGACTCTCATCCAGTGCCACATGATAAAAAAATGTGGCCTAGCATGCAAAAAAACATTCATCGTGGTCCTTCTCTATTCCGACGCAGGATTTTCTGTCTTTGCTCCGAAGAAGGCCACACATTGAACCAACCAAATAGGAAGAATCAATCCGTAACCCTCCTCTCTGAACATAGTAATTCCAAAGGTAAAAAACACAAAGAATTGAATGTTGACTGGATCCACAACTGGTCAAGAAACGTGACAACTTCTTGCACTGCTCTGAGGGACTTGTCATGCAGAGATGGTGTTCAGGCAGTACGACCGGTACAGCGGGTGTGGGACATATTAACTGTTTTTGTTTGTTTTTTTACCGGCTCTCGGACTGGTTTTTCTAGCTGGTTTTTTTTTCTGCAAAACAACTGCGAAAATCTCACACCCTGCAATTGACTTTGCGATGCACCTCTACAGCGTTCCGGACGCCATCAACCTCACGCTCTCGCCGATGAACCTCGCAACAATCGCGTGCCTCCTGGCGGCGGTCCGCGCGCTGTTCGCCCTCCGTGGCGTGCGTGCGGCCTACTACTGGCTTCGAGAGAAAATGCTTCTTCTGTCTGGCGTCTTACTCGTCGTGGTGATCGTTTACTTGGCCTTCCCAGTCGCCTGGGCTAATAAAGACGCCTTCTGGAGCGCCCTTCGCCAACTGACAGGCGGGGCGTAGGGACTCCTAGCACCACGGGCGTACTTGGCCACCCCTGCGTATCACGCAGCCAGCGCTTTGGCTTTCCTGGTATGGGACTAAATAGCATCAGGTCTGGGTTCAGAGGGTCTTCAACAACCACTTCGCAATTGAGTTCCGTTGAGTGAAAACGTGCAAAACAGTACACACAAAGGCAATCGCTTTAAGTGTTAGCCGTACCACATGACCATAGTGGATGCAAATTCGACGAGAAACGCTTTGCAGTTTCGCTACATGGAAGCAGGAACACATGCGTTTATAGGATTGAGGCCATCTGTTAACAGGATGAGTGGGATAAGTTATGATAAACAGGTGGAGGCTGTTGCTCCCGAAGGTCTTCGATTAGTTTTCGAGTTTTTGTCCGACCACCCTCCATCAGACGAATGGTATTTCCAATTAGGACGAAGCATCTCTGCTAAAAAAAACATTCACTGTGGGGGGATTTATA